GAAGACTGGTGCAAGCTGTCTGTGAGCAGCAGAAAGTGCCCATGTGCTTTTGTTTCTCCTCTTCCTCTTGCTGCTGCAGCTGATCATGCCAGCCCTGGTAGCTGTCACCCAGGTGACGCACAACTTCCTGGCCTTCGTCTTCCTGGTGATCATGGCAGGCTGCAGCATGGCTGTGCTCTACCTTTTACCATGGTGAGCAGGGGCACCTCTGAGCCACTTGACAGGTGGAGAGAAGGGGAAGGTTACCGGGAAAGCAGCACCCATGACATGCCAAGGCTGCCTGTTTGCTCAATACAGCAGCTTTTGGGCTTCAGAGGGATCTGTGGAGGTGGGACTGGGAAGGGATGTGGATGTGATCCATGGTCCCCCAGCAGTGTCATTTAGTCTGTGTTCAGATTCAGCAGCAGGATGCCAGTCATTGCACAAGGCACTGGTTTTCTTCTCTTTTTTTCTGAAGCAGCTGCCCACACCCTCTCTGTAAGATTCTCTCTGCTCTGTTTGCCTAAGGCAGAGGACAGGCACAAAACAGTCTCCAGAGTGGGGTTCTGTGAGGGGTTTCTCTCTGCTGCTTGGGGAGGCTGCAGCTGAGTTCAGCTGGCCCTGGTGTGCGTGTCACTGACGTGTCTGTGGGGCTGTCTGTCCCCAGGTCCATGCTGCCAGATACGGTGGATGACTTCATGCTGAGGAATCCCAGTTGCCTTAACCTGGAGGCTCTCTTCTACTCATTTTACGTCTTCTTCAACAAATTTGCAGGTGGCCTTGCCGTGGGGATATCGACACTGAGTTTACAGTAAGCCCCAAACACTACCTCCCCTATTTTGTCAGCCCAGCACAGGCACTTTCCACTGCTGTTTTCTAGGGTGTTGATAGGAGATGCTGGAATGATTCACAGGGATATACAAATTTGTCCTTCCAACATCTACTGGGAGCAAGAGGAGCAGAAAGGAGTGGGAATTCCCCCAAACCAGGCCTCTGATACCAGACTCTAGAGGAGAGCAACAGAGGCGTCTGCTTGCCTTTCTGCAGAGGCCCAGTGGGTCTGAGGGAAAGAAAACCATTCTCCTTTTTAGTTTTGCAGGTTACCATGCTGGAGACTGCACGTACAACCCCTCCGTCATCCTCACCCTGCAGCTTCTCATGGCCCCAGTTCCAATAAGCCTGCTGCTCATTGCCATAATTATCTTCTGCCTCCATCCCATCAATGAGGAGAGGAGGAAGCAGATGAGAATGGAGATGGAAGCAATGGGGTAAATTCCAGCTCCCTGAAGGAGCCAGGTCACCTAGCACTAGTCTGGGTGTCTGCCTTGGTCCTAGCCCAACACAGAAACGTTTTACAGGGAAGGGACTGTGTGTGTCCAGTCCGGCTGCCCACGCTTGGGCTACGATCCTCTCTAGGAGTGCATTTCCTGAAGGGCTTTGAGGGTATTTTGGAGCCTGCTGACTTCACACCAGATTTCATGAGTGCTTATGTTCCTTTTAACAGGCATCAGGTACAGCGCGGCAGCTGAGAGTAAACCCAGGGCTGAAATGGGTGAGTTCATCAGGAAGGACACGGCTTTGCTGTGCTGTCAGGATGTGCTGCTGTCGGGGAAAATCGTCGCTTCCTGTTGTTTCCTGTGCCCTGTTCCAACAGCCTGTTTTGTATCCTGACCCCCTCCCTCTCCCAGCTGGCAGGCACAGGATGGGGAGAGGGTCCTGCTGCAGCCCCAGCCCTGCCACCTCACCAAAGCTGCTTTCTCCAGGGCTTGGCCTCGCTGGTCTTTTGGCAAGTCCTGACAGACCCAGGCAAGGCAGATCTGCGCTCACCTTCTGGGGAAGGACTGCAGTGCCGGGGAGGAAGGGCCCCCGCCAGCCCCAGAGCAGTGCTCTCGCACACTGGGGTGCAGAGGTGTCACTTAACCTCGTGGGAAACTGTGCACGAAGAACACAGGGGTTGTTTTTGAGAGGAAACGATTTTGGACCGGTTTTTAGGGGAAATACTGCTGAGATAGTACATGTCGTTGTGCTTAGACTGCCCTTTCACAGGGAAAGGTTTAGAATTTCTTTGAACAAGGGTGAAGTTCAAGCCAGCGGTGTTTTAAAGCATGTGCAGAAACAATGACACCTGGCAGCAAGGTGGTGGAAGCCAGCTCTGTCCGTCTGCCTGGACCTTGTTAGCTGAGTCACTTCTGGGAAACCAGGAGCTTCTCGGTGCAAGAGGTTGCGGGAATGAGCTGCGCTGCCTCCCGCCAGGCAGCTGGGGGGTTTCTGGCAGCTTGTCCTGATTTTTGCCAGGTTGGCAGGTTATGGCAGAAGTGTCAAATGAATGTCAAGAAGAGCTGAGTTGCTTTTAAATCGTAGCCCATAGCTAGATCTCCCACAGCAGCATCTTGCAAGAGCTGTTCGGCACCCCCACGTCTCTCCTGGCAACAGTGAGGGGGCAGCAGGGGGAAGAGAGGAGAAATCAGCCATCTCGTGGCTGGTAGCGCTGAGTTGTGTTCAGCCTTGTGCAGCGGCAGAGAGTGAGGCGGGTTATTTTTAGGGCTAGAGCTGTATCTGACCGTTGGTTGACCTTGCAGCTCTCCAGTCTGGTGCACACTGGCAGGATCTGAGCAAACTACCCCCCAGTTGTACGCTGAATTAATTTGAAGCCTGAAGTCTTGTGGTACAACTTCGCAATCAGTGGGGGAAATCGTGTTTTAGAGCTGCGTCAGGGCACCTGCAGGATCGTCGCAGCAGTTCATGTTCAGAACAATTTCTCACGCACAAAAGGCCTCCTTTTTTCCCCTCTTTTTTTGTTTGTTGTTTGTTTTCTGGAGCGTGAAGGATGTTCCTTGAGATCGTCTGACTAAACTCGTGGTCAGGTGTTGGGATGCACTGCCACCATGTTGCTTTCAGCCTTGCTGCCTGTGGATTTACCAACAAGCAAGCACCTTTGAGCATCGAGGAAACGCTCCAATTGCTGAGAGTTTCAGATCCTGCAAAAAGCATGAATTACGTTCAAAGGCACACACCCCTTGGGACAGAGGAGTGGGCTTGATCTGGAGCTCCCAACCTGCAGCACAGGCGGTGAACAGGCCACAAGCTGCTGCAGGGCAGAATCTGACCCACTGCAGGGCAGGGAGCTGCTGCTGGCGTGCACGGTGCCTGCCAGCCCCACTGCTGCCTGCAGTGGTGCTTCTGTATATCCAATAATACCCCATTTATTTTTTACACTATTAAATATGAATGGTCACGCTTTTCCCTCTTGGTGTGTCTTATTTTGTGAGTTCTGCCAGCAGATGATCCAGAGAGCAGGGAGTGGGTTTATGCAGAATTCACTTGTTTTCAAGCCTTTGGGCTTTCTCCAGAGTTTAGATACCAGAATCTGACCTGAACCTTTCCCTGCTCTCAACCAGTGGGCCCCTGAGTAGTTAAGGGGTGGTCAAACTTGGCTGAGCTCCTTGCCTCTGTTGAAGTACTGGTTGTTGTAGTGGCTTTGCTTGCTCGTAAGATGAGCAGGTTATGCCAGGGAGTTAAAAAAAAAAATAAAAAGAACAAAAAAAAACCCCAAAACACCCCACCCAGGGCGAGAGCTGCAGTGCCTGACATGTGCAAGCATGCCTGCGCCAGCGTGGCAAGGGCTTGCGCATGGGCATACCTCACGCAGTATTTCCTTTTCCAGATCCTTGTTTATCACTGGCCCTTGTAGGGAGAGCAGGCCCAGCCCTTCACGGAGATAGCATTAATCCGGAGGGATGACAGCGTGCCCCTTCTTCTCCCCTGTTATTTTTCATCTTGACTCTGGGCCTCACGCATCTGCACTGCTGATGGGTGTGTGTATGAAGAGTCAGGGACCACGGCCAACATCTGTGTGTTGCAGCTTTAACACAAAAATGCTATGGCATCAAAGCAAGAAAAAACCCCTACCTTGCTATTTCAGTAGTTAAAGATGCAAGCAAGGAATAGAAGCAATTAAAACTTGCTTCATCCCATTATCTGTTATTTTAAGAGTCTCCTCCTCTTGTGTCCCATTTTAATGCACTTGCTGAAAATACTGGCTTTTTATTAGTCTCCCGTCTGTCCTTGGAACTTCTCTGTTCCCTTGTGGACATGCAAGTTCATCTCCTTGAAGTAAGGAAATAGGACGCTTTGAGGCAAAAATCCTGTGCCTGGAGCGATTCTCTTTTTTTTTGACCAAAAAAAGAAAGTAGTTGCTGTTGTTCGCAGAAGAAAGTCCTTTTGAATGTGGGATTGTTCAAACCTATGTGTCTTTTTGTTGAACCTGCCCCAGTAACACAGGACCGGTGCTGACTTCCACCAGCACCCTGAGGAGCCGTACAGGGAGCGGTGCCAGTATAGATCTCTAAAGCATCATCGCACCGGGCGGCTGGCATTGCACATGCCCCGCACTCTCAATTTAGGCACAGCCTAGTCTTGGGAATTGTGAAAATAATTAAAAGTCTTGAGTGGGGTTAGGGTTAAAGTTAGGGACAGGTGTTCACTGGGCCACTTCGGGGTTCCCCACTTTGGTGGCCTCTGCAGCGGCCTGCGCTGGGCCGCACACCCGGAGCTGCTCGGGCTCGCTGCTGGCAGGCCCTGCGCTTCTCGGGCCTATAAATGGCGGAGAAACGAGCAAAGCCTACAAGGACCCGAGCCCTGGCGGGGAGTAGGGTGAGGTTCCCCTGGCGATAGGGCGGAGGAAGGCCGGCCTGGGCCCCGGGGGCGGCTCGCCCGA